CAAAGAGGCTCAGGGACAGTGCCCAGGCCTAGAATAGTGTTTCTATTAATTTACCATGATACTCTTTTTTAATAAAAGAGGAATACTTATTTAGTCAATTGTGTACCCACACTGTAGAATAATATGCAACCATTTCTAAGAATATGGTTTGCTGGGTACCAGTTTCTCATGCCCGTCATCCTAGCTATCATCTGGAGGCTAAGATCTGAGGATCGCAGTTCCAAGCCAGCCAAGGCAGAAAGTCCCTGAGACTCAGAAAAAGCCGGAAGTGGCACTATGGCTTAAGTTGGTAGAGTGGTGCTAACCTTGAGAAAAAGCAGCTCAGGGACATCACCTAGACTCAGAGTTCAGGATGGGGGCTTGGAGGCAGGGGGGATGGAGGGGAGAAGAATATAGTGATATAGAAAGATTTCCAAGACTATTAATTATAGAGCATTTATCATTTGACCTTATCTATGAATTGTATCTATGTTTTAATCTAAGTACATGTTAAGAGGATAAATATGTTTATATGATGATTGTTACTTAGAGACACTTGAAGAGAGGGGAAGGCTCAGACTGGAGAGCGTCTTTACTTTGTGTATCCATATAGCATTAAAGGTTTTATGATAAAACTTCACTCGTGTGCTATTTCTGCAGTAAAGAAAGGAAAAAATAGGTCAGGTGTGTTGTTGTTGCACTAGGGAGACAAGCAGAAGGATTATGAATTCAAAGCCAGCCTTTGCAACATAGTGAGTTCTATTCAAACTCCATAGTGAGAAATAGGGTCATGGCTGAAGTGGTAGTGTTTAAAGCAAGCTGTAGGCCCTGAGTTCAACCCCTACTTTCACCAGAAAATAAAAAGAAGGAAAATTCTGGCCCAAGCATGGTAGTTCACAGGGGTAATCCAACTACTTGGGAGGATTTTAGTTTGAGGGCTTCCCAGGCTAAAAGTTAATGGGCTTGGGATGAATACCAGTAATCCCAGCTACACAAAGCATATAGGTAGGATTGAAGTCCAAACAAAGCCAGCCCAAACAAAAACCCAGACCCTATCTGAAAAATAACTAAAGTAAAAAGGGCTGGATGCATAGCTCAAATGATAGACTGCCTAGCAAGTGAATTCCAGTACAATGATTCCAAAACAGGGTGGGAAGGGGAAAGGAGAGAGAGGGAACGAAGCAGAAAATGAAAGGGGAAAAGAAGTGGGTGTTGATGGTTCTTACCTGTAATCCAGGGCTACTCAGGATGCTGAGATCTGTAAACTACAGTTCTAAGCCAGCCCAGGGAAGAAAGTTCATGAGACTCTTTTCTCCAAGTAACCATCCAAAAACTGGATGTGGAGATGTGACTCAAGTGGCAAAATACCAGCCTTGAGTGAAAAGCTAAAGTCAGTGCCCAGGCCCTGAATTTAAGCCCCAATACTAACAAAAGAAAAGGAAAGAGCCGGCTCTTTCTACTCAGGAGGCTCAGATCTGAGAATCATTTCAAAGCCAACTCAGGAGGAAAGTCCATGAGACTCTTATCTCCAAGTAACCACCAGAAAATTGGAAGTGGCACTGTGGCTCAAGTGGTAGAGCATTCACCTTGAGCTGAAGAGCTGAGGGATAGTGCCCCGTCCCAGAGTGCAAACCCCACAACTGACAAAAGAGAAAGAAAAAGGAAGGAAAGAATTTCATCATGCTGTTGGGCACCGGTGGCTCATGCCTGTAATCCTAGCTACTCAGGCTGAGATCTGAGGATCCCGGTTCAAAGCCAGCCCGAGTAGGAAAGTCTGTGAGACTCTTATCTCCAATATCCACTCAGAAAACCAGAAGTGGTGCTGTGGCTCAGGTGGTAGAGCACTTGCCTTGGGCTGAAGAGCTGAGGGACAGTGCCCAGGCCCAGAGTTCAAGCCCCATGACCGACAAAAAAAAAAGAATTTCATCATGCTTGTTGATTGTTGGGAAACCATTAACTATTGCTCAGTGACGTTAAGAAGACACACCCTTAATATTACTCCCTCTAAATAGAACTTAATACCACTGTCATTTCAGATCATTAGAAGATAGGGAAGAATCTCAGTTGAGTAGATTAAATATTGTGAGGTACATAGAAAGCCTTGTTAAGAAAGTAATCCCCCCACCAGCTTATTCTCTACAGGACTCCTTTGTCCCCTCTAAGTCTTGTCATACCTCGAACCCTTTATCTGTAGCAGTGGTAAAGAAGGGATGGTTGAGAGGCTATAACAATTGGTATTTGGTCTTTCTATTCTTTTGCCTCTTAGGCAAATCTCAAAGCTGCTTAATTTTGGAAAAATTTATATATGTGTAAGTAAACTTAAGGGATCATTTTAACTTTATAGACAGTTAATTATTGAGACACTGCAAGTTTGAAGTGAAATATTAATTTGTATTATTTTCCCCCCTTAGTTTCTGCCACTGCCTTCTACAAAGCACAACCTGTAATTCAGTTCATGTGTGAAGTTCTTGATATTCATAATATTGATGAGCAACCAAGACCTCTGACTGATTCTCATCGGGTAAAATTCACCAAAGAGATAAAAGGTGAATTCATTAGCATTTAGAAGAATATAACTGCAATGTGCATGGATATAACAGCCTGTTATTGGAAAAATTTTAAGATTAAAATGTGTTCATATAATGTCACCAAGAAAAATATAGATCAGTTGTAAAATATAACAGTAAATTCATTGATATAATGTCATAAGAAGTGTTTGAGTGACGTACTGAGTAATGGAAATAGTATCAATACTAGGCAATTGTATTTTTCTTTTACTAACTGCAGGGATAAGAAGGTCTCATGAGAAAAGTCTTCTTTAATGCTATTAAAAAGTAGTAAGCTTACCTAAAAAATCTTGTTATTTTAAAACTGAAGTCATTCTTTAAAGCCGTTCTAATACAATGACTTATTTTTCTGAAATGATAGTGAAATTTTAAATTATATTCCTTTGGAAATTTATGAATATGAGGCTCGTGTGTTCCATGTATTATTCTGGAGTTATAACAGCTATTTAATGTACATTCTGGAGGTGACTAGTAATCTTACTTAGTAGCTATATTTGTACAGTGGTGTTGCATTGGATGTTCATTTAACTTCATCTCTGTAGAATCTCCTTAAAGGAAGGAAAAAGGAAATAATTTTAATGGTGTTCTAAAAATTTATAGTTTATGTACATTTCCTCTTTTATAGTTTTAAATACATTTAATATACATACATAGTTTTATATCTAAGCCTGTATATGCTGTATTTTATCAGCAATTTAAAGGAGTGTTAAAGAGTAATTTGTGTTATGTGTAATTCTTAACCTATTCATGATTTTAGTACCTCATCCTCATGCAAGATGTGATTCCACTGCATTATTACATTATTTAGAGATGAAGAAAAATTTGATATTCTCCAATCAGAATGAATAGCATAAATTCTACTTTCATTAAATGTTAGTTCTTAAGTAGCCAGAGATACTTTTTATTTTAGATTTTACCCATTTCTTGGAGATAAATTTCCAGCTTGTGATTTGAATGAAGCATTCAGTTTTGTTTATTAAATATCTGTCAGTCCCAAGTCAGTTAGAAAATGATTATATACTGTTTGCTCCAGAAATCATTCATTTTTTGCCATTCAGTAACCATGAAAGAGGCAGTCATAAAACACTGAAAGAAAAAACTCCTTCCTACTTTGAGAATAAACATCCATCAATCTCAAGTAATTTAAATGCCAAAATAGGAAACTGTTAGCTGTAACTGTTTTGCAACCGTACCATTGTCCTTTGATAATCTGTATTAACTGTACAGTTAGTGTTGTCAGGAGCTTAGTACATTTTCTACCATTATATATGTGATCATCTAAGTGCCATGGTTTAATAGTGGAGTTGCTGCTTAGTTACCACCTCTGATATCATGAAGTCACTTACATTATCTTGCGGTAACTATGCAATCAACTCATATCACCACTCTATCACAGAAAATACAAGATGTACAGAACAAGGACTCTCCTGCTGCCCGAAGAGCATGGACTCGATCTTAACTTCAACTGCTCAGGGGCCCAAAGAAATGACTGAAAAAATGACTAGAAAGCATTATAAAGTTGATGTTATAGTGAAGGTAAAGCCAAGTTTATAGGTTAAATATTTACTAAAACCAAAACATTTTTGGTTGGATGGAGGGTTTGGGGAGGGACCTGGGCAGAGAATTATCTAGTCCATTTTTTAAATAATTTTGACTTTGTTAGCCTCTGGATTTGGGGCTAATTGTGAGGAGCCTGTGATCTTAGATTTGGGGTTGAAAATTTACATTGGATCTAATTGACAAACCAAATATTTTTTTCTCCACTTGAAGTCAAGAAGGTTTAAAAAAAAAAGTAAAGAACTTTAAAGTACATCATATATATTCTAGCCACAGTAATTCAAAAGAATAAAATTTTGTGTTCTATGCTATTTGGATTTAACTTTTAGCTTGCATGTGAAATTATAATTGATAGTAATATAAATTATTATAAAAATGTGTTTTTAGTATATTCATTTTATTCCAGTTGAACTTTTACCCAAATCTTTAATAATAATTTCTGGAGCAGCTTCTTTGTCCAGTAAGTTATATAGTTAGAAATATCAGGAAAGTATTTTTACAAACAGTAGAGAAAATATAAAAGTTACATATTGGATTTGCTTTTTGGTAAAAGCATATTTTATAGGCGTGTAGAACCTTATTAATATTTTTTTAAATTCAGAGAGACAAAACAGTTGCCTACTGGCTCAAATTACATACATTTCACTGTTTATACCCAAGACATGGTATTTTTTGCATGTTACTTTATTTCATAACTATTACTTTCTTGTGAGATCTTCCTATGTATTTTCTAATCTCCTTTACAATATAATGGCATATTCAATTCTCTAGCTAAAATTTTAGTTTTATAACAGTTATCATCTTAAAAAACAGTTATCATCTTACTGATTTCAATTAGAAATAATTTTCAACAAAAACCCATACCAATCTCATACAGGAACACTGTTCACTTACCATCTTAATTTGTATTGATATCTAGTAAGACAAGTTCAGTTACTATGAGTGGAGTTTGTATTTTGTACAACAAAGTAATTAGATAAAATAAATTATAACAAAATTAAGTTGTGATAGGGCTTATGAGCCTTGGCTCTGTTGACATTGTGGGCTGGATAATTCTTCGTTGGGTTGGGAGGTGGTGCTGTTCTGTGTATTATAGGGTATTTAGAAGTATCCCTGGCCTCTACACAATAGTTACCAATAGCACCGCCCATTGTAACAACAAAATATGTCTCCATAGGGGCTGGGAGTGTACCTCAGTGATAGTGCACTTGTCTAGTGTTTGCAAAGCCTCAGGCTCACCTCCCAGCTCCACCTGAAAAAAATATCTTCAGACATTACCAAATGATTTCTAGACGGGCAGATTGTTCCCTAGTTGAGAACCATTGCACTCTAGGAATAAAAAGTATAAGGGGGGAAACTGAAGGAAAGGTAACTATTGTCCAAAAGGAATTGTACTCATTATCTGCCTTATGAAATGAAACAACACCTTAATAATAACAAGAAATTATATACAGAGAGTAGTAAGCACAAATCCTGTCTGTGAACTAAAACTCATCCTCTATCCCTTCTTGACTTTTACCCTTTGGAGTCTAGGGCATACTTTAGGAATAGAGATGACTTCTGTGACCAGTAGACATTCTCTACCAGGTCCAAAGCTGCACTGCCAATATGGCAGCCACTAACCAGGTGTTAACTATTTAAATTCGGTAAAATTAGCCAGGCATGGGCTCAATACCTCAAAAAAAGTAAAAATTTTAAAAATAAAAGTTTTTAGTTTTTCAGGTCTACTAGCCACATTTATGTACATAGAAATATGTTAGCACAGATGGAGAACAGTATCTCAGAATATAGTCTTTGACAGTACCAAAGAAAAATTGCCAAGAAAACACGAAGTTCAAAGTTCAATCCTCACTTAAAAAATTTTTTTTTCATCCCAAAGAATTTTATCTGCTATGCCAGGTTTCCTGCTCCATATCTGTAGTCCCAGCCACTCAAAAAGCAGAAGTAGTAGTGATATTGTCTAAAAAGAAATGTACTCTTGCCAGGCGCCAGTGGTTCATGCCTATAATCATAGCTACTCAGGAGGCTGAGATCCGAGGATCATGGTTCAGAGCCAGCCCAGGCAGGAAAGTCCAGGAGACTCTTATCTCCAGTAAACCACTAGGAAACCAGAAGTGGTGCTGTGGCTCAAGCGGTAGAGCACTCACTGTGAGCTGAAGAGTGCAGGGACAGCACCTAAGCCCAGAGTTCAAGCCCCATGACCAACAAAGAAAAAAGAAAATGTACTCTTGGGCTAGGGATGTGGCTTAGTGGTAGAGTGCTTGCCTAGCATTCATGTAGCCCGGGGTTTGATTCCTCAGTACCACATAAACAGAAAAAGCCAGAAGTGGCGCTGTGGCCGAAGTGGTAGAGTGCTAGTCTTGGGCAGAAAGAGTTCAAGAACAGTGCCCAGGCCCTGAGTTCGAGTCCCAGAACTAGAAAAAAAAGAGGAATAAGGAAGGAGGAAAGGAAGAGGGAAGATAGATTGGTTGTTTGCAGCTGATTTAAAGCCCATTTCTTCACTTTTCAGAGTTGGCAGGGATCCTTGAACCCTTTAGATGCATGAATGCAGGGATCCAGGAATGTTTAAAATTATGTACTAAATTATATGTATGTTCATTTTTAAATTTATTGCTTTCATCAGATTTTTAAAGGGGCCAGTGACTCCATAAGAATTTAGGGTTCACCTTCTTTAGGAATTGTTTTGGTTTTGAATTCTTTGATTTTTTTAAATAGTCTTTAAAAAGAGGCTGTGTCACTGTGTTATACTTCCTAAAAATAGTTCCTCCCACTTTCATTAGAAGGGTCCAATATTTTTTCTTTCAGCTTTATAAATGTTTGAAGGGCTTCCTTCTTTATTTTTATGAAATTCCCATTGTTAGTGAAATGGCTGGGCTATTTAAATGCTTTGAATAAACTGTCGTGAGAACTACTAAAACTCCTCTTTTACTCTTCTTTCCCTCTCCTAGCATAAACACCTGAATTTATTTTAAAAATGATTTTTTTATTAATAGAGGAATTTTCTCAATCTTTGGGCTTTGCTAATTTTCTGATTTCATTTTTTAATAAGTGGAGCTTGATAGGTTTGACAGGTTTGAAATTAAGTCTAACATGATTGTAAGCATTATTGGCAATGTTATATCTAAAATTCTTTGTTAATATATTGCCCAAGTCATGGATTTTCTGTCAAGAATTGAGTTTTTATAGTAATGAACAGGCTTGTAAATATAACCTGTAACCTCCATTTTTCTTGTTGAAAACAGGTCTGAAGGTTGAAGTGACTCATTGTGGAACAATGAGGAGGAAATACCGTGTTTGTAATGTAACGAGAAGGCCTGCCAGTCATCAAACGTAAGAAAAGCTGGTGTTTGTCAGAGCAATGATGTGAAGCAGCTTGCTCTAGGGCGTGAGTTGGGTGTGTCTCATTGGCAATAGTAATGTAAGAGTTGTTCATGTTTGCTTTCCTTTCTTCCCAGTTTTCCTTTACAGTTAGAAAATGGCCAAACCGTGGAGAGAACTGTAGCACAGTATTTCAGAGAAAAGTATACTCTTCAGCTGAAGTACCCACACCTTCCTTGTCTACAAGTGGGACAGGAACAGAAGCATACCTACCTGCCACTAGAAGTAATGTATTTGTATGCTTATGGATCTCTTCATGGTCATCACTACTTTGAGGGTTTATCCTGTAATCTGAACTTTATTTATTTTTTATCTTGGGGATTGAGCTTTATTGTGTCCCTCAGCTTTATTTTACAAGGCATTCTACCATTTGAGCCACCACAGTACTTAGGGTTTTCTGGGAGTTAATTGGAGATGATTGTCATAGACTTTCCTGCTGAGCTGCCTTTGAAACACAATCCTCAAATCTCAGCCTCCTGAGTTGGTAGGATTACAGGCATGAGCCACCAGCGCCCAGCGTGAACTTCTTTTAAGATGATTCAAAATTTAATTCATTCTAAATTTCCATTAAGCAAACAAAAGATGTTCCTGTATCATCCTAACACTGTTAGCATTCTGATATACTTCTTTCAGTCTTTTCATCCCATGTACATTTTATCTAATTATAATCATACTGTAGTAGTTTTATTTCTCTCACTTTTTGTTGTTGTTGGTGGTGGTTGGGGGCTTGAACTCTTGGGCCTAGGCACTGTCCCTGAGCTCTTCAGCTCAAGGTTTTGAACCGTGATCATCATACCTCAGCCTCCTGAGTAGCTAGGATTCACAGGTGTGAGCCACTGGCGCCCAGCTGTCTTTGCTTTTTTACTTAACATAAAAAGGAGAGGTTTGATGAAATAGGTTTAATTTTTTTATTTCATACATAGTTCTCATACATATACCTCAAAAATATATGTGTAGCATGAAACTTTTTTTTTTTTTTACTGTGTAGGTATGTAACATTGTAGCTGGGCAGCGGTGTATCAAGAAGCTGACTGACAATCAGACATCCACTATGATCAAGGCAACAGCACGATCTGCACCAGATAGGCAAGAAGAAATTAGCAGATTGGTTAGTACTTAGCCCTAGAAATTTAATTTAAACATATTAGGGTGAGCTACTGTCTTTACCGTCTAATAACCTTTTAGCATTTCATGGGTGATCAAAATGAAAAGAGATGTTGGATAGTGAAATTTAATAGAGGTATAAGCAAACCTTAGTAAGTCATGAGAAGTCCTTCTAATTTAACCGTAGACATTTTTATTAGATTCAGGGACCTGATTCTGCCAGAACTAATGTTATAATTTAGTTAATTGGAAAATCCACCTAAAAGAAGGAGGAAAAGATGTTAAGATATTGTAACTAGAAGTACTAGAAGTTTTAGCGATTGGTCTGAAATTCCTGTCTTAGTATCAGACTGACAGTCTGAATAATGAAATGAAAGACAACTTCACTAAGGGGAAGAGAGGAGAGAAATTACCAGAACCACCTAATAAAATGAGTTAACATTTCACAGTCTATATATATACATCAGAACATCATATTATGCTAAATAAATAAAATCATGCAGTGCTATCTGTCCATATGAAATATAAAGACATAAAACTAATAAGCAAATTTAAAAATAAAAGGACCTCTTGAAAAGGGAAGAAATGTGGAAATATGACTGTTGCACACACCAAAAAACAGTCTTTCAGAAGCAGTTTTAAATATTATTGGAAAAGCGTTATAGAACTGACTTGTTCATTTTTGTAAGCCAATTACAAAAACAAAGACCTTTTTTTCTTATCATTTTGGAAAGAAGGAAAGTAAGTTATAACATAATCAGGGAAGTACTGTTCAATCATGATTCTTGATATTTCATTATTGATACCTTATTATCAATATTTCTCTGATTCTACTATAAAGTTGTAAAAGCTGTCCCAAGATCTTTAATAGACAAAGACAACTCCCTAACTTTTTTTTTCTTTCTTGGAATATGAAATAGTGGAGTCTTTATTACACAGTTAGCAGGCTTCAGGCAGCCCATTGTTAGAAAGGCCTACAGCCTCCAAATACCCTTAACACAGTTAGGAAACAGGCTAGAGAGAAAGAAAGGACAAAAATAATACCAACAAACCAATTCAGCTCCAAGGGAGAGCTAAATTGGGATGCCATGATTGGCGACGACACAGGACACAGGACACAGGACAGGATCACGGAGACACGTAGCATGGTGTCCATAACTTTTGACTAGTAGTTGTAATTCATTTATTACAGCTTAACTATTTAGGAAAGCGGTAGTTATAGTGCTTAAAATAATTGGCTTTATGGGGGAGGGAGGAAGTGAGAGAAGAGTTAAGGGAGTATAATAGAAGTTGGACCTATTCAAAGTATAATATGCATCTACAGATGCATAAGTAAAGAAAAAAATATAGGCTCTGAGCCAAGCATGCTAATACATGCCTGTAAATCCCAGCACTTGTAGGGCTGAGGCAGAAGGATTTCTAGTTTAAGACAAACCTGGGCTACATAAGGAGACCCTGTTTCAAAAAAGAAAAACAGACTTTGAGTCCAGGTATGCTACCCTAGGTTTGAATAAACATCTTGTTTTTCCACTAGTCATTTGCTTTACTAAATCATTTAACTTTTCTAAGCTTTAGTTTTGTCCTGTGTAAAATACAGGTTATATAAGAGCTACTTTTTTTGTTTTGGTAGTACTAGGTTTGAACTCCCAAGTCTTGTGCTTACTAGGCAGGTGCTTTACTGTTTGAGCCACACCTCCAGCTCTTTTTGCTCTTGTTTTTGAGACTGGGTCTTATTTTTTGCCCAAGCTGGCCTGGACAACCCTCATTCTATTTAATATCATCCCACCATAGCTGGGATGATAGTTACATACCACCCCATCCAGCTTTTTTCTCTTGAGATGGTAGTTTTACAAACTCTTTTTCCCAGGCTGGCCTAGAATTGTCTTCCTCCCAGTGTCAGCCTCTGTTGTAGCTGAGATGACAGGTATGTACCACAGCACACAGCTATTTGTTAAGATGAAGATTCATGAACTTTTTGCCTGGGATGGCCTCAAACCACAATCTTCCTGATCTCTTTTTTCCCTGCGTGGCTGGGATTACATGTATGATCTACCAGTACCCAGCTCAAGTCCTACTTTTATGGCATATGATAACTGTGAAAATTGTTAAACACTTAAACCAAGCATGTCTTGGTAATTGTTACATTTTATAATCTTCCCATCAAGCTACACTAAGACATCATAACAGATGAAGGAGTAAAAAAGAATAATACTGCCTAATTTAGAAAAGGCCTTTCCTGCTTATTGTGGGAAAAATCCTGTTTACATATTTAAATTATGCAGTTTTTAATGAACTGTGCACAGCTTTGAATACCCTTCTCTTTTTTGTCTTGTTTGACCTTTACCTTGAGAGCAGGTGAATGTGTTTTGAAAACAGCTATCATAGTACATGAACATGGAAGATCCAAAACTGAAATATAATCATTTTATTTACAATGTGATAATATTTATCTGAAAACACTGGAGTACATTTTATATAAATTGTAAGTCAATGACTTGTAATGTTTTCTATCAAGTTTGCATAAAATTGGTAGTAAATGTCTGGATTCTCCATAATTAAAGATTCTTTTTTTTTCCCCCTGCCCTGTGGAACTGGGGATTGAACCCAGGGCCCTGTGAATACTAGACAAGCACTCTACCACTGATCTACATCCCGCCCAGTCAGAGGGTCTTAACCTTTTTTAGGTGAGGTATTTCTCTCTCTCAAAACATGTTACGTTTAATCATTTTAAAATACCATTTTCATCTATCAAAAATAGTTAATTTTTTTTTTATTTTTCAACCCAACACATACATTTAAATTTTGTATAAAATAGCAGGGTATTCACTTCCTCCAGTCCATTCATGATGCATAATTCCTCAGGCTAATATTCTCTGCTCTATTATTTGGGCACCATTGATTAGAACTATTATAAAACATACAGTTGACATAGTGAAAAAAAGAAAGAGGTACTAAAGTAAAGTATGAGATCTGGGGGAATTTTGAGAGTAACAGCAAACTTTTCTGTTGTTAGGTTCGGAGTGCAAATTATGAAACAGACCCATTTGTTCAAGAATTCCAATTTAAAGTTCGGGATGAAATGGCACATGTAACTGGACGAGTACTTCCAGCTCCTATGCTCCAGTATGGAGGACGGGTAAAGACTTTTGATGTTTACTTCTGCACCTGTAGTTCCCTGATTATAGGACAAGAGCATCCTAAGTAAGTCTTGAGTTTAGACCTTTTTTTTCCTGCCATTCCTGGGGCTTGAACTTAGGGGCTTGGTATTGTCCCTGAGCTCTACCACTTGAGCCACATCTCTTCTACTGGCTTTTTTGGTAATTTATTGGAAAAAAGAGTCTCATAGATATTGCTACCTGGGCTGGCTTTGAACTACAATCCTCAGATCTCAGGTCCTAGCTAGGATTACAGGCATGAGCCACCAGTGCCTGGCTAGACTTTTTTTTGGTTGTTCTAACAATGTAGCTTGTTACAAGGTGTCTTTATTTTTAGTTTAATAGAATTTTGGGGTTTTAATGATAAAAGTATAAAATTGATTCAGTCAGTTCCATGTAGAGTATCAAATATATCAGTTTAGCAATCTGAAATACTTATTTTCAGCTCACTGAAATAAACATGTTAAGTTTTTCCTCTTTTTTTCCATGTTATTCCCCTCTCTCCCACAGAATCGAACAGTAGCAACACCAAGCCATGGAGTATGGGACATGCGAGGAAAACAATTCCACACAGGAGTGGAAATCAAAATGTGGGCTATAGCTTGTTTTGCCACCCAGAGGCAGTGTAGAGAAGAAATATTGAAGTAAGATATGCCATTGCTTTGGTTTGAGAACATTTTTTGTGTTTATATTTTTGTTCTTTAGTGGCACTGGAGATGAATCCAGTGCTGTGACTATACCATAGGCAAGTACTCTGTCACTGAGATCTACCCTAGCTCTGTATTTAGATATTAAATTACTTATTATATTTTAACAGATAAACTGCCTCAACACGGAATATATTTAATCACTGAACCTTTTGTGTGTGTGTGTGTGTGTGTGTGTGTGTGTAGTTTTTTAATTGTGAACATACTGTACAGAGGGGTTACAATTACATGGGCAAGATAATGAGTACATTTCCTATCAAGCATTGTAAACTCCTCCTTTGTTTACCCTTCACATCCCTTCCCAGCCTCCCCCTGCCCTCCCCAATCCTCCCCCCTCACTGAACCTTTTAAAATGCATCTTCATCCAGCCAGGCAAATTGGTGGACACCTATAATCCTAGCTACTTAAAAGGCTGAAGCCGGAAGTTCAAGGCCACCCAGATAACTTAGCAAGACCCTGTCTCAAAAATAAAAATATTAGCTGAGGATCAGTGGCTCACACCGCCTGTAATCCTAGCTACTCAGGAGGCTGAGATCTGAGGATTAAGGTTCAAAGCCAGCAGGAAAGGCCAGTGGGACTCTTATCTACAATAAACCACTCAGAAAACCGGAAGTGGTGCTGTGGCTCAAGTGGAAGAGCACTCACCTTGAGCTGAATAGCTGAGGGACAGCTTTTGGGCCCAGAGTTCAAACCCCATGACCTGCCCAAAAAAAAATTAAAAAATCCCCTTGAGAGTCTTATCACCAATTAACCACTCAAAAACTGCAAGTGGAGCTGTGACTCAAAGTGGTAGAGCACTATCCTTGGGCAAAAGAGTTCAGGGGCAGCACCCAGGCTATCCATTTAAACCCTGCAACAGACAATAAAATAAAATAAAAATGCTTTTAAAATGTTCAGAATATAGCTGAGTAATTCTGGGTTAACTTCCAGTACCTCTAAAAAAATTTTTTTGATTCATGTTTCTAGACAATTTGAGCAACTAGCTTTGTAGTATAGCTTTGTAGTATATAGCAACATTGCCATTTTTCTTTTTAAATGATACTAATGATTTAACTTAGGGCAAGCACTCTCTACGTCTTGAGCAACCCTCATTGCTTTCATTAATTTTTAAATAGAGTCTCATGATTTTTCCCAGGCCAGCTTGGACTGTATGATACTTTTGTTTATGCTTCTTACAACTGGGATGTCAGACAAGTGCCAGGAGGTCCAACTTTATTACTTTATTACCAGTTGATGGGAACTGAGGCTGATTCCACAGGAGCATGGCTCCTGTGAATAGTGCTTCAATAATCATGAGTGTGCAGGTCTCCCTCTTGAATGTTGGCTTATACTCCCTTGGACATATGCCTGAAAGTGGCATTGCAGGGTCATTTGGTAGGTCAATCTTTAGAGGGTTTTTTTGTTTTTTTTGTTTTTGTCAGTTGTGGGCCTTGAACTCTGGGCCTGGACGCTGTCCCTCAGTTCTTCAGCTCAAGGCTAGCACTTTACCACTTGAGCCACAGTGCTACTTCCGGTTTTCTGGTGGTTAATTATAGATAAATCTCATGGCCTTTCCTGCCCGGGCTGTCTTTGAACCATGATCCTCAGATCTCAGCCTCCTGAGTAGCTAGGATTTGCCTAGCCACCAGTGCCCCACTTCGTTAGGGTATTTTTTTAAAACTCCATACTAATTTCCATAGTAATTATACTAGTTTATGTTGTGTGAGAATTCCTTTCTCCAATGTCCTTACTAGCATTTGTTGTTTGTTTTTATGATTGCCATTCTGACTGGAGTGAGATTAGAACTTCACTGATGAATGTATTCATTAGCCATTAGTACTTTTTCTTTCTTTTTTTTTGGGAGGTCCGGTCGTGGGGCCTGAACTCTGGGCCATGGCGCTGTCCCTCAGCTCTTCAGCTCATGGCGAGTACTCTACCACTTGAGCACAGCCCCACTTCCAGCTTTTTTCTTTTTGCTTATGTGGTGCTGAGGAATTGAACCCAGGGCCTCAGGCATGCAAGGCAAGCGCTCTACCACTGAGCCACCTTCCCAGCCCCTAGTACTTTTTCTTTTGACAACTATCCAGTTCATTTACCCATTTATTAATTGGATTATTTATTCTTTTTTTTTTCTTTTTTCTTTTTTTTTTTTTATCAGTCGTGGGGACTGAACTCTGGGCCTGGGCTCTGTCCTTCAGTTCTTCAGTTTTTCAGCTCAAGGCTAGCACTCTACCAACGTGAGCCACAGTGCCATGTCCGGCTTTTTCTGCATAATTATGTGGTACTGAGGAATCAAACCAGGGCCTTATGCATGCAAGGCAAGCACTCTACCACTGAGCCACCTTCCCAGCTCCAGTCCTTCAGCTCTTCAGTCAAGGCTAGTGCTGTACCACTTGAGCCACAGTGCCACTTCTGGCTTTTTCTGCTTTTGTGGTGCTGAGGAATCAAACCCAGGGCCTCATACATGTGAAGCAAACGCTGTATCACTGAGCCACCGTCTCAGTGCCTTATTTATTCTTTTGACGTTTTAATTTTTTTTTTTTTTAGTTCTTTGTGTATTTAGGGTATTAAACTTTTCTCTGTTGAATATTTGGCAAGTATTTTCTCTTACTGTTTGGGTTGTCCCTCGAGTCTGGTCATTGTTTCCTTTGATATTTAGAAGCTTTTTATTTTATGTAATCCCATTAGTCAATCCTTGCCCTTATATCCTGGGCAATTGAATCTTTAATTAGAAAATATTTACCTATCCCCCTGTCTTCCAGTGTTATCCTTATGTTTTCATGTAGTAGTTTTAGTGATTTCTCCTTGTAGGGGTTTCACGGACCAGCTGCGTAAAATTTCCAAGGATGCAGGGATGCCCATCCAAGGTCAGCCTTGTTTCTGCAAATACGCACAGGGAGCAGACAGTGTGGAGCCCATGTTCCGGCATCTCAAGAACACATATTCTGGACTACAGCTCATTATTGTCATTCTGCCAGGAAAGACACCAGTATATGGTAAGCGTGTCTTAAAACAGCATTTTTCAGGGATGGGTGTATAGTTCAGTGTTATTGTATTTACCTAGCATGTTCAAGGGCTCTGGATTCAGTTTCCAGCACTGTAAATAAATATGTGCGTGCATGTATGTTTGTATGTGTATATATTACATTTTGGCATATTTACCTTAGGATTTCAAATCCTAAAGCTTTCAAATACTAATACACATTTTATGCTGTACTATTTCAAATCATATATTGTTATTTTTAGATAAACCTGTAAGATAAATAGTTCAAAGAAGACCCTTAGAAATTCAAACCCCAGACGGGCACTGGTGGCTCATGCCTGTAATCCTAGCTCCTCAGGAGGCTGTGATCTGAGGATCATGGCTCAAAGACAGCCCGGGCAAGAAAGGCCCTGAGACTCTTATCTCCAGTTAACCACCAGAAAACCAGAAGTGGCACTGTGGCTCAACTGGTAGAGCGCTAGCCTTGAGCTAAAAAGCTGAGGGGCAGCACCCAGGCCCAAAGTTCAAGGCCCATGATTGACAAAAAAGAAAAGAAAAAAGAAATTCAAACCCCAGAATCACAAAAAGAGAGAGAGGAAAAGATCCTTAAGAAAAGAGGGGGGTTTTGTGTGTGTGTTTTGTTTTTTTTTGGGTCTGGTCATGGGGACTGAACTCTGTGTCTGGGCGCTGTCCCTCAGCTCTTCAGCTCAAGGCTAGCGCTCTACCACTTGAGACACAGCACAACTTCCGGATGTTTTCTTTTTTCTTATGTGGTGCTGAAGAATCGAACCCAGGGCCTCAGGCATGCAAGGCAAGCACTCTACCACTGAGCCACCTTCCCAGCCCAGAAAAAAGTTTTAATAGCTAAAAGAGACATCAGAAGACAGTGATTTAAGAAAAATTGTTTAATAAAAATGTTATTGAGATAACTTGAGTGTCCATATAATGTAAGTTAAAAGCACAGACCTGGAGTTAACCTGTGTGACTAAGTATCAGGTATTGTCCAGATGTACTGCTTGTGTGGTGCATCTGAATAAACTAACCATACTAAGCTATAATTTTCTATGGAACTAATAATATCTAACCTATATATGATTGGAAAACAAAATAATATTCTGTGAAACAGTAAATTAAGTATAAATCACTGGGTATTGGAAAAAGGTAAACAAAATGCAACTTTGAAACAGCTGAATGGAGAAAAATAAATTTCTCTAGAGAGACAGAAGGGGTCTGAGAATGTAGATTAGTGCTAGATCACTTGCCTGACATGCATAAGGCCATAGGACAGTTTACAACACCCCACACACATACACACACACTAGAAAAAAAATCACTAAGAAAACTGTTAAATTTGACCACATAAATTTTTTGTGTTTGTACTGGGGATTGAACTCAGGGCCTCTTGCTTGCTAGGGCAAGTACCCTACCAGTTGAGCCTTGTCTCTAGCCACTTTGCTTTTTTTTGTTTTTTGTTTTTTAAATACTGCTCCTGGGGCTTGAACTCAGGCCCTGAGGGGCAATATTGAGCCTTTTTTGCTCAAAGTTGGCACTTTACTATTTAGCCATAGCTCTACTTCCAGCTTTTTTTTTGGCCGTTGTGAGACTTGATCTCTGGGCCTGGCTCTTCAGCTCTTTAGCTCTTCAGCTCAAGGCTAGCACTCTACTACTTGAGCCATAGTACCACTTCCAGCTTTTTCTGTTTATGTGGTATTGAGAAATCAAACCCAGGGCCTCATGCATGCATGGCAAGCACGCTACCACTGAACCACTTTTTCAGCCCCCAGCTTTTCTTTTTATGTGTCATTAATTAGAGATAAGTCTCTTGGGCTTTCCTATCTGGGCTGGCTTTGAGCTATGATCCTCAGTCTCCTGAGTAGGTAGAATTATAGATGTGAGCTACTGGCACCTAGCTTGTTTTGATTATTTTCAAGTTGAGGTTTCAATTTATGCCTAGGCTAGCCTGGGCTTTGATCTTACTTATGCTCCACCATGAGGATGACAGGCATGCATGTGCCACAAAGCCTAGCCATTGTGCTTCCCCTGCACCTGGGTAACAGGTATATGCCACTGTACTCAGCTGTTGGTTGAACTGGAGTCTTTCAAACTTCTTTTTGCCCAAGCTGACTATGAACCATAATCCCCTTGTTAGCACTCTAGTAGCTATGACCTTACATTTGCTAAGTGCTCTAAAACTTGTGCCATGCCCTAATCTTGCATTTTTTGTATGTACAAAGAATACTCAGTATACATATGTGATAAAGGAAGTGGGAAATATGAAATGAATCTGGGGAAGGAAACATATGATAGGGAGAATCATGGAAGGGGTAACTGATCAAGAAGCACCTTAGGCATGTTAAATTGTAACTGCCTTATACAGCCTTTTGAAATTTAGAATAAAATTACAAATTAAAAAAATATTCTTTAAAAAACTTCTAAAATTGGGGGCTGGGAAGGTGGCTCAGTGGTAGAGCGCTTGCCTTGCATGCCTGAGGCCCTTCGTTTGATTCCCAGCACCACATAAGCAAAAAGAAAACATCCGGAAGTGGCGCTGTGGCTCAAGTGGTAGAGCGCTAGCCTTGAGCTGAAGAACTGAGGGACAGCGCCCTGGCCCAGAGTTCAGGCCCCACGACCGGACCCAAAAAAAAAAACTTCTAAAATTGGTCTGGGAATGTGACTTGGTGGTAGAATGCTTGCTAGCATGCATGAAGCCCTGGATTCAATTCCTCAGTACGGTATAAACAGGAAAGGCTAGAAATGGTTCTGTGGCTCAAGTGGTAGGGCATTAGCCTTGAGCTAAAATCACCCAGGAACAGTGCCCAGGCCCTGAATTCAATCCCCAGGCCTGGCAAGAAACAAACAAGAAAAAAAACAGCTAAAATCGTTGAACACTGGTGGCTCACATCTGTAATTCTAGTTACTCAGGAGGCTGAGATGTCAGCATTAAGGTTCAAAGCCAGCCTGGGTAGGAAAGTTTGTGAGACTCTTATCTCCAGCTAGTCACCAGAAAACTGGAAATGACTCTGTGGTTCAAACTGGTAGAACACTAGCTTAGAATTCAGGGACAGTGCCCAGACCCTGAGATCAAGACCCATAACCAACAAAAATAAGTAAATAAATACCTGAAAAAATTTAAAATAAGTAAATGGTATGTTCAAACATTTTTGTAGTGATTGACAAAAATAATAATTCAAAAGATAGGTTTTGATAAAATACAGAGAACTATTTTTTAATTCAAAGAACTTGCAAATCAATAAGAAAAGATAACCCCACTTAAAAATAAGAAAAAAGATAGAAAACAGTCATCTTATAAAGCATGCTCAGCAGTATTGGTTATTAAAGAAATATTAACTAGGGGCTGGGAATGTGGCTCAGTGGTAGAGTGCTTGCCTTGCATACATGAGGCCCTGGGTTCGATTCCTCAGCACCACATAATCAAAAAGAAAAAAGCCGGAAGTGGCACTGTGGCTCAAGTGGTAGAGCGCTAGCCTTGAGCTGAAGAGCTGAGGGACAGTTCCCAGGCCCAGAGTTCAGGCCCCACGACCAGCTCCCCCCAAAAAAATATATATATTAACTAGGCTAAGTATAGGGGTTGATGTCTGTAATCCTAGCTACTCAGGAAACAGAGATCAGGAAAATTACAGTTCAAAGCCAGCCTGAGCAAAAAATTCACAAGACCAGAATCTCAACCAGTTTAAGCTGGATGTAGTGACACATCTGTCATCCTAGCCACAGTAGGAAGCTGGCAAGAATTCAAGACCCAGAGTGAGCAAAAGGGGTCAGTCTGATTAAAGTACAATATATGCATGAGAAATACCAGAGTGAAACCCTGTTAACATATACATAAAAAGTGAATGACAGGAATGTAAAACAGATCCCATCCAGACCATGTGTCCTAGTGAGAAGTGGACTGGCTACATATAGAGATAAGTGAAGGAATATGGATTTGGTCAAAATACTTTATGTAATGCATAAAAATGGAACACTGAAGCTTATTGAAATTACTTTTGGAAGAAGGCAGGAGGGATGAGAATGAAGAAATAGGTAAGTCTGATCAAAATACATTGTATGCATATATGAAACCCCTTTGTCAACTATAGTTGTTATTTTGATGAGAGAGAGAGAGAGAGTGTGTGTGTGTGTGTGAGAGAGAGAGAGAGAGATGGGATTTGAACTGAGACTGGGCACTGTCCCTAAGCTCTTTTGCTCAAGGCTAGTGCTCTACCACTTGAGCCACAACTCCATTTTGGGTTTTCTGGTAGTTAATCGGAGATAAGATTCTCATGGGGACTTTTCTCCCTGGGCTGGCTTCAAACCATGATCATCAGATCTAACTTCATGAGTAGCTAGGATTACAGGCATGATCCCAGCTCATGATGACATATTTTTTTCTTTTTTTTTGTTTGTTTTTTTGGTCGGTTGTGGGGCTTGAACTCTGGGCTTGGGCACTATCCCTCAGCTCTTCAGCTCAAGGCAAAGTGCTCTACCGCTTGAGCCACAGAGCCACTTCCGGGTTTTTTTTTCCCTAGTGGTTTATTGGAGATAAGAATCTCATGGACTTTCCTTGCCGAGGCTGGTTTTGAACCGTGATCCTCAGATCTCAGCCTCCTGAGTAGCTAGGATTACAGGCGTGAGCCACCGGCGTCCAAAGACATTTTTTTTTCTTATGATGAAGGAAGGAACAGTGTTTTTCCTCATCTGGTTAAGTTCATAGTTAGGACAGACTACTGCAAACAAGACAGACTATCAGCAGAACAGCAAGATGCTAATTTGTGCAGTACACACACAGCAGAGGACTGTCTCAAAGCAGTGGCTTAGGAGTCTGCTTATATAGTATATATGACATGGAACAAAAAATTTTAGAGAAGTGACTGATCCAAAAACAAAGGAAAAGCAGGGAAAGCATTCACAGGATTCAGCATGGGAAACTGGGAAGGTAACTGGTAAATACTAAAGTTTGCTTACAGATGCCTCTGGAACCTTTTATGAGCTGATATGGAATATAAGGGAAAATTTACATTCCATCTTTAGGTCAGAAAGGTGGGGCAGGATAGAATGGCCATCTGTCTTTGTAAATCTATGTCTTTTATATCAGAGAAAGAAAGCAGAGAGCCCCTCTGTCTTAGTTGTCTTTATTTCAAGAATCCATCCCATTTGAGAGATTAAAAAATTATTGCTAAGTAATTAAGCTAATTTTCAAGGCAGTACCCTTTAAGTTTTTATGGCTTTGTTTCAGTATTGGTATAGCTTTGGGCATCCTGTAATACAACAATGCATTTCAAGTGGGATGCATACTAACTTTATGTCCAGTAAGTAAATTCACTTTCAGGTTTTTTTCTGACTAGGGGTACTTGTGTTTGTTCCATAGCGGAGGTAAAACGTGTAGGAGATACTCTTTTGGGTATGGCAACACAGTGTGTGCAAGTGAAGAATGTGATAAAGACATCCCCTCAAACTCTCTCAAACTTGTGCCTAAAGATAAATGTTAAACTTGGAGGAATCAATAATATTCTTGTACCTCATCAAAGGTAAGCTCATCACTTAGGGAAATAATTATTTTTATCTTTATTTTTTATATATGACCATATGTGGCTATTGTAAAATCTGTGTTAGAGGCAATTTCAGTGACTCTTGCCATAAGATGTGTAGACACTTGAGCCATAAAGAAAAAAATTTAAAATTTGAAATGGTGAGGTTATGTTGTTTTCCTGTAAATCCTCTCCCTCTACCAATTTTCATTAAGTATGCAACATACCTCTTTCCTAGCCAGAAAGTATCAAGAACTTTCTCATTCTTACATTTTTTTATTTGGTAGTTATTAAGCTGTTTCATGAGGCTACTTACCTACCTAGAATATGAGTGTGGAAAGAAATAAGGTCTGGCAGCAGGACAATGTGGCTGATCAAGTAACTTTTTTTCTTATTGGCAATCTTGAGATTTGAACTCAGGATTTTACACTTGCTCTTTGGCTACTCTACTCCTTGAACCACACCCTCAGCTTTTCACTCTGATTCTTTTTGAAACAGTGTCTCAATTCTTGCCTAGGTTTGCCTAGACCATGATCCTCCTACCTATAGTTCCTGCTGTAGCAGGCACTTTTTATCTTTCCCACCTTTTTCTATTAGGATGGGGCATCCTGAACTTTTTTTGCCCAGTTGGGTCTCAAGTCATGATCCTCCTGGCCTCTGTTTCCCAAGTAGCTATGATTATAGACATGACCCAGTATCATCATCTTGAGCACCTTCTTTAAAGCTCTTAGGGAATATTCATATATCACTGAGGAGAGAAGGCTGTTATTTGGAGACTAAACAATAGGTTCCCTTTTCATAGCTGAAGCAAGTAGAACTCAAAAGTTAAATATTTGAGTGTATGTTACTCCAATTTTTCTTCTGGCTAGGGAAAGGAATATAGTGTAGGCTTTCCATGATCACTTTGAATCTAAAGTTTAATTATTCTTTTTTTTTTTTTTTTTTTTTTGTGTCCGTTCATGGGGCCTGAACTCTGGGCCTGGGCACTGTCCCTCAGCTCTTCAGCTCAAGGCTAGCGCTCTACCACTTGAGCCACAGCGCCACTTCTGGCTTTTTTCACTTTTGCTTTATGTGGTGCTGAGGAATTGAACCCAGGGCCTCAGGCATGCAAGGCAAGCGCTCTACCACTGAGCCACTTTCCCAGCCCAGTTTAATGATTCTTTTGAGAGATTATATAGACCTCAATATTTGTTATTTTTAAAAATTGATAAAAATTGGTGGGTAATATGAATGTGAATAATTTTATTCCAGTTACTGAGAATACTAGCATCAGTTGTTCTCTGAAACCCTAGCACTAAGGCTTAAGGCAATCACTAGCTTTCCATAAAAATATCACAGATTGTTTTGACATCTTTTACTTCATTGACCCAGCACTCACAAATTAAATCAGTGGAGGTCACTGGACATTGGTGAAAGTAAACTATACAACTTGTGAGTAGAGATGGGAGGGAGGGACTAGGAGAGAGTGAAGGAACAGAAGATACTATACGATAGGAAATGTACTCATTATCTGACCATGTAATTATAATCCTTCTGTACATCACTGCTATAATAATAAAGTAGCTGGGCACCGGTGGCTCACGCCTGTAATCCTAGCTACTCAGGAGGCTGAGATGTGAGGATTGCAGTTCAAAGCCAGCCAGGACAGGAAAGTCTGTGAGACTCTTATCTCCAATAAACCACTAGGAAAAAAAAAAAACGGAAGTGGCGCTGTGGCTCAAGCAGTAAAGCGCTCACCTTGAACTGAAGAGTGTAGGAACAGCGCCCAAGCCCAGAGTTTAAGCCCCACAACCAACAAAAAAAAAAGACAAAAAAAAATAAATTTTTAAAAAGAATAAGTCAGTCAGTAGTTCAGTCATGTACAACTGTCCAGATAAGATTTTCTCTGTGCTGTCAGTGGCCTGCAGTTATGTTGTAATTGTCTAAATCATGTAAATGAATGATGAATTATCTAACCTTTTAAAAATTGTATTTAAGACCTTCTGTGTTCCAGCAACCAGTGATCTTTTTGGGAGCAGATGTCACTCACCCACCTGCTGGTGATGGAAAGAAGCCTTCTATTGCTGCTGTGAGTATCCATAGGCAGATTTATGTTATCTAAGGTTCAGACCAAGGGCTGGACGCATAAAGTGGTAGAATACCTGCCTAGCAAGCACTAGGCTCTGTTGTCTGTCTGTCTGTCTCTGTCTCTCTGTTTCTGTCTCTGTCTCTCTCTCTCTCTCTGTACCTGTCCCCCCTCCTCCTCCTCCTTCACTTCTTCCTCCACTTCTTCCTCCTCCACTTCCATCTCCTCCTCTTCCTATTGAGGGTAGGGTGAGTGAGTGTCTTAGGAACTTTTTTGTCCCAGCTGGCCCAGAATTGCAATCCTCTCAGTCTCAGCTTCCTACATAGCTGGAATGACAGCTATGAACCACTGTTCTCAAGAACTTTTTATCCTGGCTAGACTCAAACAAGAATCATCCCAAGTAGCTAGGATTACAGGTGTGAACCACCATACCCATCTTGTTAATCAACTTTAATGAACATTTTTTTGGAACCTTCACAAAGAGTGGTTACTCTGGTATGGTGGGGGGCGGGGGTTCCCTCAAGTGCCATATATAAATCAAAATTTTTAATTTCCTTACTGAAATCAAAGTCAGATTTCCATTTTTGGAGCATGGCCCTTAATATATGTTACCCTGGAAGAAGTATAGAAGCAGAGTGGTAAACTGAGACTGTCACTAGAATAATATTGTCTCCTTTGCTCCAGGCATATAACAATAATAAACAAGGCACAGACTAACAGACTAAGTTTGCCAGTCTCAAAACCAAGGTTGAATTTTAAATTTATTTATGTATTTATTTATTTTATGGTACTAGGGCTTGAAATTAGATTGTTGCATTTGCTAGGCAGGTACTATACCACTTGAGCCATTCTACCAACCCTCTAAGATTGACTTTTCCAAAGATCAGGGGAAGGTATGGAGGCATGGTCCAGGTGGTGGAGCACCAGCCAATGGGCAAAAGCATCAGATACCAAGTTCAAGTCCTGATCTCAAACAAAGACAAAAAAAAAATAACCAAAGGTCAGATTTAGAAGACTACTACAACCCACTGAGATTCAGGATGTCTTTTCTAGAACTTTGTAGTAAGGGAGAGAAATTCATGATTTTAAAATTTATGAAGTGGGGGGCTGGGAAGGTGGCTCAGTGGTAGAGCGCTTGCCTTGCATGCCTGAGGCCCTGGGTTCTATTCCTCAGCACCACATAAGAAAAAAGAAAAAAGCCGGAAGTGGCGCTGTGGCTCAAGTGGTAGAGCGCTCGCCTTGAGCTGAAGAGCTGAGGGACAGCGCCCAGGCCCAGAGTTCAGGCCCCACAACCGGACCCAAAAAAAAAAAAAAATTTATGAAGTGGGAATAGGGCTCAGTAGTAGAATCTGTTCCTAGCATGTGGAAGGCCCTGGGTTGAATACTAGCACGACAAAAGTAAAATAAAATTTATATAACATACTTCTAAGATGGTGCTGAGATCTTAATGATGATTTCTGGGATGTGTTAACTGAAGTGGAAAAGAAAGGAGTGGTTTGAATTGGTTGCCCCATTGTTCTTAACTCTTTTCTCTTATTCTCATGTGCATGTCTTTTTCTTATCTAACTAATCTTTAGTTCTACTTAAAAGATGTAGAATTCAATTGTTAAATGTAAAGTACCAAACTATTCATAGAAAATTGTTTTTTTTACATGATTCTTGGTCTTTATTCTGTTCTTCACTGGAATTATCTATTGTGATTATTCTGAAAGTAAATAGTGGTAAACAGAAGGGTTATAGTAAACTATAACTACAAGTAAAATTCATACCGTTTTGATTAGTTTTTCTTGGTGTTTTCCAACCTAGGTTGTGGGTAGTATGGATGCCCACCCGAGCAGATACTGTGCCACAGTAAGAGTTCAGAGACCCCGACAAGAGATCATACAGGACTTGGCCTCCATGGTCCGGGAACTTCTCATCCAGTTTTATAAGTCAACTCGGTTCAAACCTACTCGTATCATCTTTTATCGGGATGGTGTTTCAGAGGGACAGTTTAGACAGGTTGGTTACCTAGGATCTCTTTAGAGGATGTTCAGATCAAGTGCTGTGCTTTATATGTAGTTCTGCAGTTTAAATAGTAAAATCAAAATTTGATGCTTAAGTAGATCTTCTAACATATTTGCTGTTGATATGTAAGCCTCTGCCAAGAGGTAAAGTGAAAAGTATATAGGGCTAAGAAGTATTTAGAGCTAAGGAACTCATTAGATTCAAATTACTATATTACATTTGATGTAAAAGAGAACAAATGTTAAATCTTTACATTGCTTCTTCTCTAGGTATTATATTATGAACTACTAGCAATTCGAGAAGCCTGCATCAGTTTGGAAAAAGATTATCAACCTGGAATAACCTACATTGTAGTTCAGAAGAGACATCACACTCGATTATTTTGTGCTGATAGGACAGAAAGGGTAAACTTAAAATCTGTTGTAACACTACTGTGCACCACACTTACCCAACATAGTTCATAGAACATTGAACAGGTGTCCTTTGCTACCATCTGAGCTTCTAGTTCTCTCTTTTCTCTGCCTCTCTCCTTTTCCTCTCCCTCTCTTTGCAGTACTGGGGATTGAAACCATGGCATCTTAGGCAAGTACTCTATAAGGTTAACTGATTTAATCTTCACAGATACTATGAGATAATAATTACTTTCATGCTCATCTTGCACATGAGGAAACTACTATTGCACAGAGTCTGGCAGGGTGACTGAAATGGTAGACCGCATGCCTAGCAAGAACAAGGCGCTGAGTTCAAACCCCAGAACTGCCAAAGAAAAGAGATTAAATAACTTTGGAAGGTGGTTTCACATACAAGCTGTATGGCTGTGCTACCTCTCTAATAGCAGTAGTAACAGCCTTTAAGATGTTAACAACTCTGACTCCAAATTAGTAGGTACATTTCTAAACCTAGAAAATCTAAATTAGATTAAGTGATTATGAATATCTGAAATTTAATAATGGCATTCATCCATTTGTTTACTTTTCTCTCACCCTTCTTTAATATGCTATTAATAATAGATAGAGATTACAGTTCAGGAAACAAAACTGAAACACTATGCCCTAGTCATAAGAAGAAACTGTGATATGAACCTAGGCATTCTTCTGCCAAATAGGTTATAACTATTTTATTGTGTATTACTAATTGGTGAGAATAGACTTAAGAGTTACAGATCTTTGTGGGCGGGGAGTGGCATTCTACAGCTTGGGCCACATCCCTAGCCTGGTATTTTGCTGGGTAATTGGAGATATAGGGTCTCACATACATGTCTTCCCTGGCTGGCATCAAACCATGAACCTCCAAAAGTCTCAACCTCCTTCTGAGGCTCCTTCCTACTCCATTTTGGCTGAGTGCAATAGGCACAAACCTGTAATACTAGCTACTTGGGAGATGGAGATAGGAGGATCACAGTTAAAGGTCAGCCTGGGAAAGAAATTCAGAAGACTCTATCTCAACCAATGGCTGATTATCCCTGCTGCAGAAGAAGCACTGTGGTTGGGCACAGCGGTATGGATCTGTCATCCCCAGCATCAAGGGGAAACATAAATTGGAGGATTATAGCTGAGGCTGACTGGGGCATAAATCAAGATCCTACCTCAAAAATGAGTAATACAGAAGGGGGCTGTGAAGTCCCCTTCATAGCTGTGATAGAATACCTGCCTAACAAGTGTAAGGCCCTGAATTCAATCCAAGTACTTAACCAAAAAATGCTGGCAAAAACTTTCAGCAACATTGAAAAATAGGAATTAGGAGCTGGCATGGTATTTCATTCCTGTAGTTTAAGAACTTAGGAAGATTGGAAGTTCTAGATGAGCCTGGGCTACATAGCAAGACTTTGTCTCAAAAAGAAGCTAGGACCTATGTGGAGTTTACTCTCTCTCGCTCTGGCTCACTTTCCCTCTCCCTCCTGCCCTCCTTCTCCCCTTCTTCTACTCCTCTTTTGTCCTGTCCTTTTCCTCTCCCACTCTCTGCTAATCCTATGGCTTGAATTCAGGGTCTGGGCACTGTCCCTGAGCTTTTGTGCTCAAGGCTACCACACTACTCTTAAGCCATATCCTCCCTTCCTCTCCCCTTTCTCCCTCTCCCCTTTTTCTCCCCCCTTTGCCCCCCCCATTTCTCTCTTTGCCAGTCCTGGGGCCTGAACTCTGGGCCTGGGCACTGTCCCTCAGCTCTTCAGCTCAAGGCTAGTGCTCTTACCACTTGAGCCACAGCACCACTTCTGGCTTTTTCTGCTTATGTGGTGCTGAGGAATCAAACCCAGGACCTCATGCATGCAAGGCAAGCGCTCTACCACTGAGCCACCTTCCCAGCCCCTCTCTCCCTCTTCTTGTCTTTTTCCATCTCCCACTCTCTGCTAATCCTGTGGCTTGAATTCAGGGCCTGAGCGCTGTCCCTGAGCTTTTGTGCTCAAAGCTAGCACACTACCACTTAAGCCATACCTTCACTTTGGCTTTGTTTATTTATATGGTTAATTGGAAATAAGAGCCCCAGATTTTCCTGCCTCTGTTATCTTTGAACTGCTATCCTCAGATTTTAGCCTCCTAAGTAGCTAGGCTTACAAGTATGAGCCACCAGCACCCACCTTTATAGAGTGCACCCACCTTTATAGAGTCTACTCTTAATGACAGCTTAAGCAATAATAGTTCAAGATGGAAGTTGATAGTTAATTGGAGATGAGAGTCTCACAGACATTCCTGCCCAGGCTGGCTTCAAATAGTGATCCTCATATCTCAGCCTCCTGAGTAGCTATGATTACAGGCTTGAGCCACCAGCACCTGACATTTATACATTTTTAATTACTTTCAGATGCATTATTCATCTTTGTCTTGTTTGTTTAAACTTTGACTAAAAAAAAAAATCTAGGTTGGAAGAAGTGGCAATATCCCAGCTGGAACAACTGTTGACACAGACATTACACACCCATATGAGTTTGATTTTTACCTCTGTAGCCATGCTGGAATACAGGTAAGTCTATACTGTGGTTGAAATGTTTTAATTCAATTCTTATAGGTCATATACTTAAAATCTCACACAAAGGCCAAGAAATACTCTTTCTGCCTGCCAAGTTATTTCTTTTTTGTTGTTGTTATGGGTTATGGGTTTGAACTCAGGGCCTGGGTACATTCCCTGCGTTCTTTTGTTCAAGGCTAGCACTCTACCACATTGAGCCACAGCTCCACTTCTGCTCTTTTAGTGGTTAATTGGAGATAAGAGTCTCAGGCAGAAAAGTGATCCTCATATCCAGCCTCCTGAGTAGCTAGGATTACAGGCGTGAGCCACAGGCACCTGGCCCAAGTTTTTCTGTATGAAACTTTCAGTAAATAAATTTCTTCCTTTCCCTTACTTTGAGGGCTTATTTTTATTAAAATGCCAGAGTATAATTAGATCAATAGCCTGAACCTCTCTAAAATGGGCCCTTCAATTAACCCAAACATGGTTTGTTTTTGTTTTGTGCCCATTCTGGGGTTTGATCTCGGGCCTGACCCCTGTCCCTGAGCTTCTTTTGCTTAACGATAGCAATCTACCATTTGAGCCACAG